GGCTTAAAATACAAAACCTTTTTCAATTATGTAAAAAGTTTTCATTAAGTTTAATAAAGATAAGAGCAAGGTCTCACTTTAAATATTAAAGAAAAAAAAAAAAAATTTAAACTAGTTTTTTATTTTTTATTTTTACTTTGTCAAGCTAACGATTTGATTAGTTAATTATTATATAATCTGCCCCGCTTATATTAAACCTTTAAGTGCCGCACAAAAAATGCGCGGCTGATCTTCGATTTTGATTGGCTAATGGCCAAGGATCTTAAAAATTTTGGCCCGCATTACATAATTGTTTACTAATTTCCGGCCGGAATTAACTTTCTAATTTTTTCATTACAAAAATAAAAAATAAGCCCGCATTATAGGAACAATTTCACTTAATAGGCGGTTGTGATTTCATTAGTAAAATTTCTGAGTAATTCCTGCTAATTTTTTGATCGTCGTCTTAGCCAATCAAAATAGAGGATCTGCCGCGCATTTTTTGTGCAGACCTAGGTTCAATGCCCCACTCCCAAATTTGGTAAAATTTTGATCAAATTTGGCCAAATTTTTCAAAAAATTTCGATTTCTTTCAAAAAATTTCTTTCGAAAATTTTACGTGTCCCTGCCCAGACCATACAGTACTGACCAAACCATCGTACCGTATTGAATATATGTATACTCCAGATTCCAAGTGAGTGTTGTGAATTTAATATCATGGCCAAGTACACGAAAGAATTATTCATTTAATTGTAATAGTTAAACATTGTACATAGCAACTATTTGGTATCGTTTACATTTTTTGATCTAAACTGACCAAAAAATTAAACATAATATGGCTATTTCTTGATCGGGATGTAAGAATATATACCCACATTTCTTCATGAAACCCATCTCATCAAAGTTTTTTGATTTTTATTTTAGATACTTCTTTTGTTCTTGTTCAAATAAAATCAAGGTCATTAGTGTAACGACCGGCGAGGTTGTTAAAACAATTTTCGATTCATCCGGAAATTGCCATAATGATGAAATTACATGCATGATGTTAAATCCAAATGATCCATCACAGGTAAATTTAATAATATTTGATGAGATGATATTATTTACTAACGTGCTTTGGATCGTCTATCTTAGTTGCTTTCTGGATCCTTGGATGGTACGATTAAAGTATGGAAATATACTGATGTGGAACTGCTGAAGGTATCGCTCATTTTTTTTAATTATTCACGTGATTTGAATATTTTATTCTTACGATTGTTCTATATTTGACAGACATATAAATTTGGGATACCAATCTATCGTATGGCTATCCTAGCGTCTTATCCAGATCGATTTTTTGTGGTCACTGGGATACCTTGTAAGAATGGTTTGTATTAATATTTCTATTTACTACATTTAGTATATTTACCAAATGACAGCATATTCATTCTTTCTCCATATAGTTAGTTGTCGTGGAAAACAAAAGGCGCAAGCCTTACTTGATTTTCGATTTGACATAAAAGGTCAACCTGAAATGCATCTCTTATGCAAATCAAAGTCTATGTGCACTGGATTACATACGAGTCCTGATGGCGAATTTTTGATTATCAGTTTCCTTCGGACAATTCGAATTATTAAAATAAAATTAAATCAACAAAAAAGGCAAAAATGGCCCAAGTAAATCTTTGATTATATATTTGTTTGATACAAATTTATTTATTCGTTTGTAAGTGATTACTTATGCTTTTTTTTTTGTCCTTATTAAGGTATACGCATTCATCAAATATATCATGCATTGCGATTCATCCATCAAAGCCTTATATATCAGTTGGAGATGAATATGGGAAAATTACTCATATGTATGCAGAAATTATATTACAGTTTATTTTACAGTTTTTGGAATTATAAAATTTTTTTTTTCTTTTTGAAATTTAACTGTTGAAAATATAATAGGTATTGTCTTAAGGAATCACAAATTCAGGATCCCGTAAAATCATCGGTCCACTGGCATCCTCACAAAGTTAACTCCCTTGCGTTCACAAGTGATGGTAAATTAGCGTAAAATGTTTAATATATGGGGTGTCAATAGAAATGGGACAAATCATTTTTAGGAACCTTTTTTAAAAAAATTTTAAACTAACTACTAAATCAAATTTGATAAAATTTTTTATTGTAATTCTGTAACTATATAAAATTAAATTAAAAAGATTGATTGTTGTGAGATATTTTAACTTGACGTTTGAAAACTTAGAAAAAATTTGAAAAATTTGACTCATTTCTATTGACTTCCCCATATACCTTTTATATCGCGTATTATAACCTCGCTTTATTCTCAAGATTGTATATATATTATATTTAGGAACGTATCTCCTTTCCGGTGGTGAAGAATCAGTTCTTGTGATATGGCAAATTGAAACAGGTCATACACAATTTCTGCCTCGCCTTGGATCCGAGATTCGGTCAATCACAATAAGTCCCGACCAAACCTTATACGCTATCAATTTATTGGATAATTCTATAAAAATATTATCTGCGGTAAATTTGGAAATCAAACAGGCTATCCAAGGATTAAAACATGGTATGAATACAATATTTTATGTACATAATCTAATTTGCATCGCCACTTGTAATTTCTTTACTAATTGTATTTCATTGGTGTAGCGCAAGTGGATGATTCCGTATATCCATTGTCCACGGGCCTTGTTATTGAACCACGAAATCATTTGGTAGTTCTTAATGGTCTTCCAGGAACCATACAATTTTATAACCCTTGTTCTGATCGGCATGTAATGGAGCATGAGGTATCTCAGCGGACTACGATATCAAGGGCATTCGAAAAAGATATTGTTTATCCCAATGTAGACCACGTGTCATTTTCATCAAACGGGAATTGGATGGTCACGGTAAATTCCTTAAAGATTATTACTTGAACGCGATTTAATTTGTTAGTTGATTCAATAAATTGTTTTAGGTCGATTCTCGAAAAGACGATGAAACCACTCCGGAATTATATTTAAAATTTTGGAAATTCGATCCTAATTCGCAGACATACGTTCTTAACACGCGTATTGATAATCCTCATTCTAAAGCAGTCGCGACGTTAAATTTTCATCCTGGCACGAATGATACCTCCTTAAGTTTTGTCACTACCGGCTTAGACAATAAATTCAAAGTGTGGAAGATAAATCCCGAGTCGCATTCGTCTCGGGTGTCTAAAAGTATGTTACAATTCATTGTCTCATTTCATTAATCCGTGTAATTAATTATTTTTTTTAGATTTGGTATCGTGGACGTGTAAATTTGTTGGTTCCTATCGACAATATACCCCACGAGCAGCAGCATTCTCACAAGATGGATCTATACTTTCAATTGCATATGGTTCCATCATAACTCTATGGGATTCTCGATCAAACGTTCTTCGGGATGTTTTAACTCTTTTGCCAAATTATGAATCTATTAGACACTTGGCGTTTACGAATAATTCACCATTTCTTGTTGTCACTACGCAGAATTATTTATACGTATGGAATTTACTTACATGTACAAGTAAGTACAGATTATCTGAACTTTGTTATATATTGCTATTTCGAAATATAATTCAACAACGTAATCTTATTAATCTCGTGGCAATTGAGTTTGGTGGAGTCATAAAACCGAAGCACATCATTTAGCCATAGATCCTAAAAGTTCCCGTTTTATCGTTGCGAGCAATTGCAAAAAGTTGCAAGGTACTAATTAATTATTATTGTCTTGAATGGTTCTGAAATCGGATGATGCTGAAATCTGGGGACCTTAATTTAGAAATATAAACCCTACCAATATCCTTTTATTATAAACCCTAACCCTAAATCCTAGATAAAAGTGCCCCAAAAATTTTAAAAATCGTACGTTAAATAGGTTTAATTTCAGCATCATCCGTAACATTAATTATATATATAATCCTAGTCATTGTTAACGTTGGATTATTGTTTTTTTCCAGAATGTCGCCTTTTTGTTTTTGAGCCACAAACTGCTATACCAGTAATGGTTCACACCATAAAAGATATAATCAAGGCAATAGCTTATTTCCCCAGAAAATTTGATGAAGTTAGCTCACCGTCAAATGCATTGCAATCATATATAATATACCTCAATCAAAATTATGATCTGTTAATAATTGGTGAGAATTTTGTAGGAAAGGTACGTTAAAACTGTTTATGTGTGGTTTAATAAGGTAGCAATGTATTTGTCAGTATAAATCTTAACCTTCAATTAAGCTTTTTTTTAAAATATATATATATATATGGGCTGCCGTTAATAGAAACTAGGCAGATTGACATTTTAATAAAAGTCTATCTATACCTTAACTTTCACAGCTTATATCTTGAAGCTAGTTTGATGATTTATTATTCAAAAGAAAGATTAAGTTCTAGGCTTTCTTTGAACTTTGAATCATCAAAATAACATCAAGATTCATTGATATATGAGCTGTGAAAGTTAGGATATAGATTTTTTTAAAAATGTCAATCTGCCTGATTTCTATTGACGGCAGCCCATATATATATATATATTGAGTTTACTTTGTTCAAAATAACAAAGCTAAAAAAAAAAATAATAATTAAAAAACATATTTCGTATGTACTGAGAAAATTGAGTTCTGGACAAGTTATATACTCAAGCTCGTTTTCCGGTACAAGTTTAATACAGTCGGACTTCCCTAAATGCAACTCGCAATAATCAAAATTTTGACGTGTTCGGATAGCGTTTGAGCTTACATTTAGAGAATTGTTGCATTTAGGAGATCGAACTGTGCCATATATTTAAACATTTTTAAAGAATTGAATGGTGAATCTATAGCAGCATTTAAAAAGCAAATATTTTTGCATAATCAAAATTAATACTGACAAATCATTTGCATGTCGCTGTATATTTATATCTATTATTTATCAAACATGAAAATAATTCATTTATTACAGGAATCCGATACGCCAATTATTTCTGAACATAAAACTTGTTTTACGGATATTTTTGGAACTTGCATCGAATCTGTCTCCGGTACTCATATATCTACAGCGAAAAAATTACCAAATGGTAATTCTAACGGCACACATTCTTCGTTGCCATCAAAGAATCTTTCAGATTCACCAAAACATATAAATTATCCCGAGGAATCTAGAAAAAGAAAAATAAAATCATTACCTCATAATGGAACTATAGTTGAGAATTCAAAAAATGGAAAACATCACAAAAAAATAAAATAAAATCAAGGAATTATTAACAATAACAAAAGTTGCTTAAAGTTGAAATTAAAAAGTGAAATTTTTGTTCATAACCATTTTTATTAATTTTTATTATACGTAAAATTTCTTGCATACGTATTGCAATTTGCATTTATTTTCAGTAATAAGTTAATTTGTGTAAATTTACTATATTCCAATTTCAATTGTTTGCATGCCTTATGATTTTTGACAGGTTGGGTTTATTCAATACAATAATCAAAAAAAGGCTAATGCGAAATTTATATACCACGTTTAACCATCCATTTGAATATTTATAAATAATTTAAATTCAAGCGGAAACTTTGCTAACTCTACTTATTGTGTTAGAGTTAGCACCGCGGATTGAAGGTATCAAAAAATTTTAAAAAATCGCTTATTTATACATTTTTGGGTTATGAGCCTGTACTACCTATGCCAATATACTACTGTATAAACGGTCACTCAAACATGTTACACTTATCAATAAAATTTACATAATAAATCTTACTAAAATTTAGTTCAGTCGTTTCCAATCACTTCAAAATAATGTCTAACGATTATAGAAAAAACAAAAAAGCTACAGTTGGCACGTATTAAATAGCTTTTGATTCTCAATTACTCGCTTGAAGTAGACTTGTGCGCGACCACTTATGTTTTAACTTTGTCTATAGTACATTCTCAGCCGAAAGATACCGGCGCTTTTAAACATACTTTAAGTCAACTTCATAATGTTATTCGCTTTTTAAAGGTATAGTGAGTTGTATAAATCGATTTTAAACAAAGACATTGTTTATATTTTATCCTGATTTTTATACCTCTATTATAGGAAAGAGTGGATGAACCACAAACTATAGAAGATCTCAGAAATAATAATATAGAGGTTAACACCAATTCACAGCTTTATGAGCTTATGAAAAAGAATGACAAGATTGTTTATAATAGTGTCGATCGAACGTTTCAATACAAGGTTAGTTAGTGTTAACATAAAGATACTTATTATTTGTTTCAATAACTAAATCAAATTGATTTATTAATAATATCTAGCCAGATTATGCTATTCGTTCAAAAGAAGATTTGTTAAACTTGTTAAAAGATAGAAGGGAACAACCTGGTGTGTCTCGAGGAATGCCATTTAAAGAGTTGGATGATTGTATTGATCTAACAAATGCCATTGGGGTTGGTTTTACAGTGATGATTTAAAAAAATAGCAATAATTAAAGAAAAAATTGTATTCTAAATGAATATGCGACATTAGGAATTAGAAAAGGATGGTAAGATTATGGTGATACGCCTTATGAAGGATAACTCACCACGACTATTATATTGGAACGATCAACGGTATATTACTGAAATGGATAAAGGTTTGTAAAGACTGAAGCATTAGATATTTGTCTAATTCACTAATTGTTGCCTAATTCTTTGATGAATATTTATACTAAATGCTAATTATAGAGTTTGTCGATATGTTTCACAGCGTCAAAGTACCTGATGAAAGTGATTTGAAGAAGTCACTTGAAGATGGTTTGTTTATATATTTTTATTTTTGTTCATATATTACAGTTCTCTATAGTCGATAGTTTGATCTTTACTACTTAAATTTTAATAGCTGGGTTACAAACAATGTCTGTGTTGGAAAATAAGACTAGGACGGAGGTAAGTCAATTAATATACTTAAGCTTGACAGTGTGAACAATGTCTTTTAAAATTTTCAAATATAGTCAAAAAGTTACAAATAGTTGCAATAGGTTATAGAGGTTACTGGTTCTCAACAGGATCGCCTTCCGAA